GGGCACAACAACAATGGAAAAATATATATGTGCATATGTGTGTATGTATATATGTATATGTGTGTGTATATATACACACACTCATACATACATATGCATATATATGTAATATGTATACATATTTGAATGCATGTGTTTGTACATATATATATACTTGAATGTGTATATATATTTGAATGTATATAAATTTAATGTGTGTATGTATGTGTGTGTATATGTATATATTTGAATATGTATATATATATTTGGATATGTGTGTGTATATATACATATTTGAATGTGTATGTGTGTGTGTGTGTACACATATGTGTGGTGTGTGTGTGTGTATATTTGACAAACTTTCAAACTAATTTACACTTTGTCAGAATAGAGTCATAGCTGACCAGCCCTGTGCTAAGTGTTTGAAGTTAAAAATTGCTTCTGCAGATTGCTTATCTTTTGCCGTTGGAGCCACTGCTGGTTTCAAATAAGGAGAAAAGATGTGACCTTTGGGTGGTTTCACAACTCTGTATGGATTCCGTGACCAGAACTCCAGGTGTGCATGCAGATAATATTATGTGTGTGGAGTATATGTGCTTGTGTGTGCTTATACGTGTACATATAATATGTTCAAATGTTCACCATCCATCAAAACTAAAGATGAAGAAATTGAGGCTTTCTTTCAACTTTTGCAGTCTGAAATTGATAAACCTTCAAGATGTGTTAATAATAATTGGTGACTAGTGAACTTTGATAAATGTCGATAGTGGTAGAGGGGCTTCAGGCCTTTTGTTCCTAGGGTCACTATGAGTATGCTCGACTTGAAGGCAATTAACAACCACAGATTCCACAATCTGACAACAAAGAAAAACTAATAGTTGGAAAACACAGCCTGTAACAGAAATGATGCTGGATATCACCAGGTAGAATTTTAAATTAATACAGTCTCCATCATGTGATCACTGCCTCTTAAAACCCAGTGGAGGGTCCATTATGGATCAGTTCCTACTTGATGACACACAACACAACATTCATGAAACCCCAAAACTTAGAGTTTGGGTTTTTTGGTTTTAGTTTTTTTATTTCATTTCCAAAACAGTCTGAGAAACTGAAGTTTAGAAAAGATGATCTAATGTTCTCAGTATACCTTCAATCTATGTTTGACAATGTTCATGTCCAATAATATCTATACTAGTAAACAAAATTAGCTGTACTTCTTCCTTTCATGGACTTCACTATCCATCGTAGTGATGTAAAATTTTCAACTCACCATTCTGCTTTTAACTGCCATGCAAATGCCATCCCTAAAACATACCTGCCACTATTTGTGCCTAAAAAGGAGAGAATAGAACTGAAATGCTCAATATGGCTTCCTTGGCTGTAATCAATGAAAGCAGTCATAATTTCCAACTGCTTGTTCTATCTAGGCTTCTCTCAGTTTAGCATAAACCTATGTCAAGTTATGTCAACTCATAATGAACCTGTGGAACAGTAAAACTGCCCAATATTATTGCTATACTTTAAATCTTCATAGAAGAGACTAATTCATCTGTCTCTCATGGAGTGACTAGTGGGTTTGAACAACCGAACTGCCCAATTGTCAGCAAAATATTTTGTGTCATAAGTACTTTTCAATTCACTATGACAAAAATTAAATTTCTTGATTATGTCTAACAATTACATTTGTTGTTGTGGTGGTGGTTGTTGTTGTTAGGTGCCATCAAGTTGCATGCAACTCATAGTGACCCTGTGAAGTAAAGAACTAAACCCTATTCTATCCTGCACCATCCTCACACTTCCTGACACACAAGAACCCATTGCAGCAGTCACGGTATCAATCTACCTGGTTGAGGGTCTTCCTCTCCTTCTCTGACCCTCCACTCTCCCAACATCAAGTCCTTTTCCAAGGAATAGTCCCTCCTAGAAACATGTTCAAAGTATGTGAAGCAAAGCATCGTCATCCTTGCCTCCAAAGAGCACTCCAGCCCTCTAAGACATATCTGTTCATTCTCTTGGCCATCCATGGGAGGTTCAGTGCTCTTCTCTAACATCACAATTCCTTTTCTGTCATCCTTATTCACTGTCCAGGTCTCGAATGAATAGCTAGTAATCAGAAAGACTATGGCCTGAATCAGGTGCACTATACCTCAAACTGACATCGCTACTCCTCAATACTTTGGAAAGGTCCCTAACTGTAGATTTCCCCAGTGCAATACATCTCCTTATTTCCTGGCTGCTGGTACCAAGGGTTTTAATTGTGGATCTAAGCAAGATGAAGCTGTTGACAGTTTCAATGTACTCTCCATCCATCATGATGTTGTCTACTGGTCCAGTGTTAAGAATATTTGTTTTCCTGACATTGAGATGCAATCCATACCGAAGGCTGCATTCCTTGATCTTTTGTGACAAGTGCTTCAAGCCCTCCTCACTTTCAGCAAGCAAGATTATGTTATCTGCATAGCACAGGTTATTAATTTGTCTCCTTCCAATTCTGATGCCACATTCTTCCTTTTGGAGTCCAACTTCTCAGATAATTTGTTCAGCATACAGATTGAATAGATATAGAGAGAAAACACAACCCTAACACACTCCCCTCTCACTTCCAAACCATGCAGTTCTCCCCTGCTCCATTCTCACAAGAGCTTCCTTCTCCAGGTATAGGTTCCACATGAGCACAATCAAGTGCTCTGGGATTCCCATTCTTCTCAATGTCAGCCACAATTTGTCATGATCTACACAGTCAAATGCCATTGCGTAGTCAATAAACCACAAATAGACATTTTTCTGGTGTTCCTTACTTTCAGCCAGGATCCATCTGACATCAGCAATGATATCCCTGGTGCCATGGCCTCCTCTAAATCCTGCTTGAACCTTTGGCAGTTCCCTATTTATGTACTATTCTAGCCAGTTTTTAATGATCTTCAGCAGTACTTTGCTTGTGTGTGATATCAATGATATTGTTCAAAAATTTCCATATTCAGTTGGAGCACCTTCCTTGGGAATCGGAACCTAGCTGACCTGCCAGTAGGTATTCAGAGAGAGCCTGTAAATTGCAAAGGAAGAGATTATTCGTCATTCTCTCAAAGAACACCTATTAGATTTGAACAGCCTTCCTTTTGATTGGCAACACAACTCCTTACCACTAAGCCACTAGAGCTATCGTATAAAGTATTTATTGTTGTTGTTGCTTTGGGCCATTGAGTTGGAGCTGACTCATAGATGATATTCCAGCAGGTTTCCAGAGGCAGTAAAATCCCATGTGAGATGATTGCTCATCTTTCTCTTGCATAACAGCTGGTGGATTCGAAGTTGTTAGGGTGGAATCATCTCTAAAGAACTGAGTTCCTAACGGCACCTCTGGGTGTTCAAATCCATTATTGATTACCTAGATAAAAGATAGACTCTCTCCTCCAATGTGATTTACAGCTCCACCAAAACTCTTTAGACAGCTATGAATTGCATTCAACTTGATGGCTACAGTGTTAGCTTAAAATTTTACTTTTCTAAACATTACATTAGCCCTTTCTAGTCCTCAGCTACCTTAACTGCAGACATATGGCCTTACAAATAATCAATAGCTGAGAGACTAGGATAAAAGAGAAAGTGCTTCCCACATTGAACAACAGACTTGAGGGAAACTGGAGCAAGACCCTGATGAGAGAGACCCTGGTGCTGAGAACCTGGTGATGATAGTGGAGAGACTGCAGTATTGCTGTGGAGAAAATGTGTCAAGGTGTAATCAGAAGAGCCCTGAGATAAAGACCAAAGTTAAAGGTTTTGCTGTTCTTACTGGATGATGGGAGGAGAAGCTGACTTAAAACTGCTCTGAGGCAAACCTGCTGGATGGTTGAGGAAACAAGAGGCTCCTTGAATTTGTGTACTGAACTAAATCAGGAACTGTATTTTGCTGTTAATATGAGTTAGGACTACTGGACTAAACTTAGATTTACATTGGGTGATATTCTTTGCTACCCCTACTCTTCAACTTAACTTCTCTAGTAAACTCCACTCTCGGTACCACAGTTTGTGAGTCAACAATGAATAAATGAATCTCTTGCTGCTGGTGTGGATAAGTTGTCCTTATCTGCCTTCTGCTCTGATGTAGTGCAGGGCTGTGCTATTCTTAATCTCTCTGGTTCTTTTAGAGAGATGATCAGGGTTCTGTGCCCCCATGTCCTATTATGTGCTCTCTAGAAAATGGTCATGAGATAGATATAGAGATAGATAGAGATATATAGAGAGAGAAATAAAGA